CGCTGGATTTGTTGTACCCAACAGCCAGCTCTCTGGCATTCCGAGGCAACTGATTTCTCCTTGCATCTTGGAGGCTCGTGGGTATTACTTTGCGGTTCATAGAGGTAAGATGTTAGCAGGTGATGCTTTTAAAGGAAGTGAGCACCCATTAGTATAGCTGAAGTCATTAAAATCTGAAAACACTCCCACTGTAGAGCCTTGAAAGCAGGGGTACCCCAAACTGGTACTAAAATTTGAGCCAGATTTTAGTTGGGTGGAGGTTTTGCAGCAGATGCTGACACTGTAATGACAGGAAAGGGAAGAGATACACAGGGAAAGGAAGGGAACTGGCTGAAAACTGCATTTCACATCTACAGGCAAAAGAATTACTCCTCAAACTCAGTGAATGGGACAGTGGGTCTAGGCCACTGTGACTTCTGGTTGGGATTTTTCATCAGTGCCTCAGGGCATCAGGAGTCCAGGCCAGCAGCATTCCAGGCAGAGCTCTCCAAAAGGGGCAGGGGGCGGTGCCTGCCTAGGCCATGGGCAATCTGTCCTGCTGGCCAAAGATGGAATTTACCAGAGCTGGAGTTACACGCAACATCCAGTGCTTCAGTCTGAGATGTTGGTTTTGATTGCACTTGGCTTTGTTCCTTCTGTGCCTTTTTCTTCAGATCACACTGGTTCTTTAACAAAAAGTATAAGCAAGCAGCTCTGCTGTTTCTTACAAACATGGCCATTGCCACGTTCTTTGCATCACTGCCAGTTCCTGTGAATGCCCAACTGAAAAGTGATGCTCAAAAAAGCAAGTTTTCTTACACGTTTAAAAAGCTTCCTCGTTCTTTTCCTTCAACTTGTCATGGCCTATTTCTAGCACTCTGCAAGAACACTGCTGATTACATAGCCTGGTCTTCCAGGTTTGCCCAAAGGCTTGCTGCAAGCTTTCTGCCCATTTGTTTCCGTTTGTTTTACCTTTTCCCAGTTCTGGCGCCTGGATGGTCTAAAACCCACATGGGCTCATCGTACATACTCTCCTGAACTCCTTTTAGTCCAGCAGCTTGCACCTCTTACCCCTGAACACTGAAATGATCACACTGTGCTGTATTCCCCAGTGAGAATGGGTGACACTCAGTACGTAACTTTTGAGACCCCCCCGATCTCTCAGCGAACACCTTGCAAACAATGAGTGAATTTACTTAGCTCGGCTGACGCCTTGCAAGCCTGCACTGCGCACTTTCCTACCCTGCCCTTGTCTGTCCTACCTGAACAGCAGCAGTAAGAGCTGTGCATGAAAAAAAAAAAAAAGAGCGTGGTGAGAGCGGTTTAGGCTTGTGCTGGCAAGGAAGCAGTTGCAGCATTGGGGAGCAGACCGGGCCGTCTCGGACTTGGGTCTAAAGCCGCCCCCGTGTGCTTCTTCACCCTGACGGTGCGGTTTACGTTAACGGTGGGGTCTGTCCAGTATATAGGCAATTCGATGTCGGGGTACCGGCTGCAGTGCAGTCCCAGAGGGAAGCTTTAGCACCAGAGAGGTCACGTGAAGCGAACAAGGCCCAGGCCGGTTCATGGCACGACAGCGGGCCGAGCTTTCAGAGAGTATTCTGCTCCCCGAGAGTTCCTGTTCCCCCCCCCGCCCCGGCCGCCATTTGCCGAGGCGCAGCCCCTTCCCTGACGGAGGGCGGCGGGCAGCCCGCCAGGGGGCGCTGTGACACCGCCTGAGGGAGACGCCCGGTCTAGCAGAGACTTGCAAAATCCGTCTTAAAATAGCCCTGGTGACCCAAACCATCGCCTCTGTGGGAACACACACACACAAAGAAAAAAACCATAACAACGCCGCTGACTACAGAACTGGAAACTCTGTCTTCCGCCCCTCGTGTGGTTTCCGGCACGCTCACCTGCCAGGGGAGCGGAAGGAAGAGGTGGGGGAGCGGGGTGGGCCTCAAAAATCAGGCGAGGAGCTGAGCCATGTGCAGCTTTCTCAAAGGATCTGCTGGAAGCCACGTCTATGTGTGCAGATACTTTGTGTCCCATCCCTCTGACTCCCCGGCACCGCCTCAAGCCCTCCGAAGTCCCTCCGTGGTGAGGGCTGCCTTGAGGCCCGACCCAAAGGGCTGCAGACAGGCTTCCCCAGCCTGGCCGTGGCCCCGGGGTAGCTCCCCAGATGCCCACAACAGCTTCTGAAGGACCCAGAGGTGCAGCTTCACCCAGGGGCCCAAGCTGCCAGCCTTTGTCGCCACTGGCAGGGAGGGGAGGGAGATGGAGAGGTTGAATTAAGATCCAGATACTAAATTGCAACGGTAAAAACCACAAACCAACCACCCAGGAAACCTTCACAGGCTAGTCTTGAGAGTGGTTAGCAAGGCTTAGAAGTAGCGAGAGCTTACAAATGCTTCTCTTCGGCACTAGACAAATATAAAACTGTCTGCTGAGGAACCCGCCACCCCCAGCATTCTCCCCC